CCCGAATCCTCGGATTCTGCATGTCGATAACTCGATTGTCGCATCCACAGCCAGGCCGCTCCTGTTGGGTCGACTGATAGGAAGATGGGTATCGAGGCGGGCTGTTCAGCAAAGAAATGAACTCGGGCCTTACTTTCTGTGCCGCCCAGATGATAATCATCTGTAGTAGCCGTGGATAATATTGCCATTGCTGGGACAAGAGTCCTGGTGTCGACACCTGAGCCATGCCCCAAGCCGGCTACCGATTTGCCTCCGTCCAAACGGGTGTGCCATACTGTGACGGGACCTGCTCGCTAACATCGTGTCGTATCATCAACTGAACTGTCGGGGACGGATGATAACAGCAGCAAGCAGACGGGTGGGCCTGAGAACAAATGAGATGAAATTCGCTGCAGCTGCACCCACGATTACGCATTGGGCCAACAACGAGCTTCGAACCCTGCTGCGGGCATGGTTAAGGGCCCGCTCTAGCCCTTGCAACGAGCCGATGCAGGACGAATCAAGCCTGCCGGCGAGGACAACCCGACCCAATGCCCGTCGTGCCCGCTGCATGCGCGTTAGGAAGGCGGAAGACTGCTCTGTCTTGCGCTCCAAAGGAATCGAATGAAACAATTTCCGTCGGCTCACGCGAGATGCAGCATCTGGCTAATCTACTGGGCAGCTTGGACGGCATCGCGGGTGCTGTCTCTCCCCGTATGCATGCCCGAGCATCGCCCAAGCTTATAACGTCTCTGCATCCCGCCGTCCGATCCACTGGTCCATCGGACCTTTTATTTGTGTTATGTTGTGTCTTTTCATGTTCGTCCCTATCCGTGTCTTATGGTCGTTCAGCGTTGCTTGCCCCTGAGTTCGGGTCTTGGGCATCTGACTCTCATGGTTTGCTAGCCCGAGAGTTTTCTTTCCAGCCCATCTTGTGAGCACCCCTTATCGTCCAATTTTTCACCATTTCAGACCGGCCCGTTGTGTGTTGTCGAAAAGTTCAACGCATGTATCTACCGGTGCCAGGAGTTCCGCGCGCCCTTCACGCCGCCTCTCCGGTTCGCTGGGTCCCGGATCCAGCGAATGCGGAACCCCACTTGCTCCACCGCCGGGCCATCCCCGTCTCGGGATCGCGGCCCAACACACTATCACTTTTCACCGAGTTGGGTCGTGCCCTCAGCCGCTTGTCCTTCGCCAATGAGCAGCCTCGTACGGGATTATCCAGACGAACGTCAGTCAAGGACACGAATGTCACGATAGGCATCGTCGTTGGTGTTCTGCTCGCCGTCTTCCTAGCTGCCGCCTTTGCATTCATGTGGATTTACCGTGGTTCTATAAAACTAGCACGCCGCCGTAGACGACACCACAGAAAGTCAGGCAGCTCGAAGAGCTCAAAAGCATCATCCGACGGTGGTGGTGCTCCTCCTGCCCCTCCGCCGGCACCAGCTGCATAACTTGTGGGTAGACACATCAGAGGTGCATGTTTTGAGTTGACGAGGGTCGCAAACTCGGTCTGCAGCCTCTGTACGATATGAAGGTACGAAAGTTTTTTCTTTACCTTTGCAAAAAATGCCCAGCTGACTGGTCGACTGTCGCTTCAGAAACGCCGGATATGTATCAATAACAACTTTTTTTTTCCCTTCTCCTCTGGTAAATAGGCGTATATACGCTGGCTGGAAAACGACCAAGGTTTCATTACTATGGCAAATTTGGTTAAGAGGGAATCCAGTGAGAAGGCTTATTAAGGCGGACCTAAAAGGTAGAGATCAATATTCACTGTGCAGGATCATTCCTCCTAGCTTCAAGGCGTCTGACATATTTCTGAAGGGTTTGCAAAACATTGTCTACTACGCGATCGGCCTGCATGAATATATATATCGAGCGAGCGACTCGATAATATCTCTCTCTACTGAATCCAAGGCGTATTCACATTCTGTAGTCTGCAAACCCCGAGTATGCGTGACTCTCCGAAATATCAACCATCAGTCTGACATGATGAAATGGTTTGGTTACGTTTGCAACCCAGCCCGTTGACTATAGTCTAGGGCAATGACGCCGACAGCCCAAGACATGCCTGGTTGATACCACCGTCGAAAGAGTCACGGGAGAGTACCTATATCTGTATTCCGGTTGACTTGCACAATCACCCCAAGAGGTTGATTGTACACTATCGGTGAAAAAGCCCAGGCAGCACCTGGGCCGCCATGTCGCTGTGCTCGCTGTGCTACCTGCGCCTCATTCAACACTGCGGCTTCTTGCTCAAGGCGTCTCTCTCTGCGTGGGTCGCTATCATCTCGATAACCTGGACAGTCAGTATTATTTTCCCCCATGTCAACCAATACAAGCACATATCCATGAGTCATCTAGCTTCTGACATTGTTTCTTCTAAATGCCTGAAGAGGTCTCTGCTATAAACTGCTTTGCTTGTGGCTAAGAGCATTGGGAGAATTAATCGGCAATCGTGACTCGTGCCGCTAAGTTTATGGGATGAGACGCAGGCTTCGCAGCGTTGCTTCATCCCTCGCAATACAAGATGCCCGTACGACATAACCGAGAAGCACGCAGCATAATATTTCGTGCTTATCGTTGGGACTTCAATGTTGCGAGTCGATAATTCAGGAGTCCTGGTTTCCGGAGCTAATCTTCCCTGGATCGCGCATCATCTATAAATTGGAACAGGGTTTGCGGAGGTCATATATCTATATATATGTATACATATGTGTTCCTGTTCCGGCGCAAATGCAGTCGTGTCAAATCAGCTCCAATACCGGATGTCCTGAGCAGATCCCCGAGGACCTCATACAAGCCTTTCTCTGCAATATTACGTCGCCTATAATTCCTGTCGACCTGGTTGTTTGTCACATCGCAGAGACTGTCCTCACCCAGATGACGGGCGACTATTTGCATCGAACGCACCATGACCACTGTCCTAACGAGTATAGGTCTCGTTGATTCTCCTTAGACATAATGTGATGGCTATCTGCAGCTGGTTTGCATCTGCAACCAATGAATCATGGAGCGAACAATCTGGGTGCGGCGTGGGGCCGTAAACAGCACGCTGAATCGAATCATACACTGTCTGAAGTTCCCGAGACACGCTCTCCAAGGACTCTCGTACTTCCTGCTCACCGAATGGGCTGGCAAAACTGTCCCGCTGCCTATGTTCTTGATGTCGTAAGCTTTGTGCCGAATGCCGCCTTCGGGGGTTGCCATCATCGCCGAGCCTTCTGCTCCTCCGATAGAGACGACCGACGCACTCGAGTATCTCACGGAGGAGCTGTCCGGTAAGTTCGCTGGTACTAGTGCGTCCTTGACTGATTACTGCTTCAGAGGGATCGCCTTGTAGTGTTCTTTCCGTTCTCCTATCTGTAGGCCGACCCTGCCGTCGGTCTCTGCTCATATACGCCTGGATGATGACGGACAGCGTGAATCGAGCAAGACGCTCTACCATGTCACTATTAATCATGGCACGTTGCTCTGTCCTTGAGGCTTGCCGCCGAAGTGATCGCGGCTGCTGTGGTCTTCGACGTGGCATAGTTAGATGTAGCTACCGCCGTGCTTTCTTTCCCCCAAGCAGACGAACCGGGCACCTGGTCATTCAGATATGGGACGGTAGCGTTTATAGCAGCTATTGCTGCAACGTCGAGACACAGGTCACGAGACTCTTACACGCGAGCTCATCACCCCTCGCTGCTGACCGAGGATTGCTGCACGTACTCAACCCATGTGCTTCTGAGTGACTACACAACCAACGAGAAGGAATGGGAAACAAGAAAAAGAGACACATGGAGGTCGAAAAGACTCATGTTTTGCGAGAGAGAATCCTCATGGCTCTCGGGGATGGCGATTGAAGGGACTTGGAGGGTCCATGTGGAGAGAAACGGATAGTTATACATTTCCCGGGCTCTGATTGACGACGTTCAAGTCCATCTAGATGTAGCAAGTTTGCGGCTCGATGATCATTGCCGCAGGAAGACACTGCTCCACGGACCCTGGGGCTTCTCATGCCATTCCATTCGAATGAAGGCGCGCAAGTGCCATCCGTGGAGCACCTCGAGATCCAAGGATTGAAGGAATCAAGGACGCAATGTCGGTAACAAGACTGCCTGCATATGGCATCTGCCAGTTACATTTCGGCAAGGCGCCTGGCCATCAGACAGAAGTTGATGGTGTACCTATCCTAGGACAGGCAGATGAAGCTTGCCATGCATGGGCTGAAGAATCCCCCCAATGACCGGGTGGGAAGTGTGAGCTTTTCACAAAGCATGACCGTATGTGCAATGACTGAGCCGCTTGTTTCATTGTTGTGTGGTCTACCTACTCCTCGTGAGGTAAGTAGGTAGAGACTAATAAAGTTGAGTCTGGTCACTTGCCAGATGCGCGCGCTACCTACTTTAGGTAGAGGGACAGAATGCTTCTCGATTAGGTAGGTAGGTAGGTAGGTACCTACATGCACGAGCCGACCCCACCGGCCCACACATACCTAGGCAACATGCAGGTGCCACTATCCGACCTCATGCCACATGGTCCTTACTGTATGTACGTACATACCTAACTGGCTTGAGCATCAACCGACGTGCACGCATGTCTCTCAAAGCCCCCCCCCTTCATACAAGAGAGCATTCGTCGCAATTCGACCCAAGGACAACCTGCCCTAATACTTCTGGAACCTAGGTTGGCTGATGGCTGAATCACGTACCTAAGGAGGGAGCCTGGCAGCTCTTGTCTAGGTAGACCGCTCGCGCATCCTCCGCCGCTGGCCCCATTGCCATCAGTGCCGTCTCGGGAACTGCACACCGTGACACCACAACGCGGACGACGACAACGCCGGCGGCGGCTTGAAACCCGAGGCCGTGGAGCCGGAGGAGAGGAGGAGAGGATAAGAGGAGAAAGGAGGAGGGAGGAGGTAGGCGGCGGTAGGAAAAGGAGGGGCAGTTTTTGCTGCTGGCGGTCCGGGGAGACAACCTGCGGCGGCCCTTCACATCTTCAAACCACTGAGGTGACGGCAGGCAGCATTCACAATGCGCGAGTTCATGGATTACATTTTGAGGGCCTTCTCCAGGGCCAGCGGAGCCACTCAGGACAATAGCTACTCGGATCTGAACGAGACCGCCAACAGTACGTCGCGATCACCCTCCCCCATCGCCCTCCCGTGGCCGGGCTTGGCTGGCTCCCAGATCCAGATCGAGCAGTTCGCGCGTGCATTCACTTCACTTGACTCGACTTCGCTTGACTAACACGGTGGGCGACCCTCTGTTGCAGAACTTCTCAACTTCCCCACTCCACGCGGCCTGCGCCTCACGCTGTCCTCCCTCGCGACGCCCAACTTTGCGACCTCGTACCACCTCGGCACCGTTGGTGTCGTCGACGGCTCCATATCCTACCTCTACTCGACCGTCCCTCTCTCCAACACCGTCGTCGTCCAGTCCGACCGCATCCCCCTACCCGAGCTACTCCGATCCTACCGCCAGCTGAGCGAGATTGCTAGCTCGTCCTCTGTCCCGGCCTCCAACAGCCCCTTTCTCGACTTCTTCAGGCCCGCAGCAGCCGCCATTCCAGAACCTACCGGCGACGCGGTCACGCCAGCACGAGATCTCAATGGCGCCGCACACCGGCACCGCTCTGCGTCGCATGGACATAAACATACCCTCATGTATGGCCGGCTATATCTGCCAAAGTCTATGCTTGAAGCGTTGATCGCGAGGCGCCTGACCCCCAATCTCGGCGTCCAGCTTGTCGCCGTCAGCCAGGAGAAGATCCGACATGGCGGCACCCTGCTTGGATTGCTACAGTACAGCGAGCCTAGATTTGGCCTTGAAGGTCTTGCCTCTACAGACGGCGGGCTACTCGGCCTTCGGGGCGTGTACAACTTCGGCGGTGATGTGTCGCCATTGCCTTTCTCCGGCTCGGCTCCCGCTCTCTCCGGAGCTTCAGCTACTGCTGGCGCTGGCGAAGCTCTGGCAGTCGGCGAAGGAGAGAGAGACAGGGAACGGATCTACGGGCGCTTCAGCGCGGGGGGTGAGGTGTACTACGGCACGCTGAACAAATCCGGAGGAATGTCAGTTGGCGCCAGGTTCCAGACCCTGCCCACGCATAAAGGCACACCACTGACGGCGACCTTGACCATCAACCCCCTGATGGGTAATATCAGCACCAGCTACGCCGTCGTGGCGCGAAGCTACTGCACGCTGGCCACGCGCATGGAGTTCAATGTGTACAGCTACGAAAGCGACTGGGCAGTAGGCATGGAGCTATGGAGTAAAAGGCGCTCTCTGATTTCGGGTGAGAATGATGAGGGCGAAAAAGAAGTAAAAGATCAAGTATCACCAGTTGAGCCAGCAAAGAAGTCCAAGCTGCGGGAACGCAGCTTTCAGGCGAAGCTGGAGTGGCGGCTCGATGATCCAGAGTCAGATGACGGAGTTACTACTCAACCAGCACCCGGCGACACTCTCGGTAATGGCAACGAGGAAGAATACCTAGGTGTCCTCAAGGCGCGCCTGGACCAGCACCTGAGGATAGGACTTCTATGGGAAGGACGGGTCAAGTCGCTACTGTTCAGTTTAGGTACAGGCATCGACCTGCGGCGCCTCGACCAACCCTTTCGCACTCTGGGACTGGAGGTACAGTTCTCCTCGTGAAGCAATCTGTGCTAATGAAATGGCAATTTCCTTACGGGTCGGAGGGTGTAATCGCATAGGCAAGGTCAAACGCTTGCAGGGAGTAAAGGGGAAACGATTTCATACGCTATCAGCCTGTAATATGGTGCTATCGAAGGGTGTGTATGCAGGCAGCCGACGAGGATGTAGTTTATCATCTTACTATTCTCTGGCCGAGCTTACGCCTACAGCTAGCATGTAAAATATTATCACATTTCTAAAACAAATGGGCTTGAACAATAACTGTAACAGAGACCTCTCCAAGTCTAGACTTGATGCAATTGTCGTACCACCTATCTACCTATCTATCTATCTATCTATCATGATAATTTGGAATATCCTAGGCTACCCACCCCAAACTCCTGGCTTTATGCAATGCAACGAAGTAAAACACATGGCCCATCGTCCATTGTATGGCTTCGGGCTCGGGAGGCGGTGTATCGTCTCATGGTGAACCATACAATGACCAGACCTGCAGTCATGTGGTAACACCTGGTGGCTCAGATTCTGTTGAGCCTTCACCTGGCGGTTCGAATGCCGTGCGAGTATCCTCTTATATTGAGTTGTTCAACTGTTCGCATGGCCTTGCTGCTGGCTTGTTGTAGCGACCTGTTGCAAACACTCATGGAGATGTAGTGCACAAATCGATTTATGTGCAAGTTGAAATTCTCCTGCTGATGAGGGATGATGTCATGACGGTGATTGTGTTGTCTTCAGCGACGCTGAACTGTCTGGACTCATCCCGGCGACGGAGATTCTGCCGCGTCTTAGGCTGCGTATGGATTTCGGTTGTCTGATAATTACTGATGTTATCCCTTCACGCCCAGTTCGCCAAAAGTGCCATCAATCCTGCCCCAACAGCAACGCAGACATATGCAAACATTTGCATGTCAAACCCTGCATTACGCATCTCGGGGCTGAACATGAACTCATGTGCGAGCAGCTCCACCAGACCCGTATACAGAAGAATCCCGCCACTTACAGCGTCAAATACACCGTTCACAATGAGACTGGTGGCACTACCCTGTTGCAGGCTTGACTTGACACCAAGACCAACAGCCATCGCTAGCGGAGTGCTGATAGCGAAGACAAAGCCGAGAACATACGGCGTCCATTTCCTGCGATCCCCTGGCCAGCTCACAGTCGCGAGCCGGGCACCAAGTCCTAGGCCTTCGAAGAATTGGTGGAATAAGATGACTAGGAAGAAGACCACAAATGAGTTGGCTTGCTTCACTGCCAGAGTGAGGCCGATGAAGATGCCGTGGAAGATGACACCGAACTCGAGTATGAAGAGGGCGGTCATTTGCGCTGCGTAGGCGGAGTGGGAGTCGCCCTCGGTGTGTTCTCGTTGATGGCCGAGATGATCTTCCCCGCCCGGGGGATAGCTCACATCGTTCGGGAGACCAGGAATTCTCGATGACCCTCGGGAGGCGGCCATCTGGAGCACTCGATGGTCTGGTGAGGCGGCCCGCACCTCGAGGGCAGATGAGCCTTCTGAAGGCGCCGCTGTAGAGGCATCACTGGAGTCAGTTGCTGCCTGAGCGCTCTCGAGATCCCTGGGTTTCCGCTCCAGCACATGAGGTTTGCTGTGGTTGTTATCATCATGGTGATGATGGTCGTGGCCGAAGCCCATGTCAAATCGCGACATGACCAGCTCGACAAAGAACATGACCATGACGGTCATGAGACCGATGCCCATTGCCCAGTCGTAGTCGGGAAGTAAACCCTCCAAGCAAGGGTTTCGTAGGCTCTCCTCAGACTCGGCGAGCAGATGCATAAAGGCAGTGGAAATGATGACGCCGGAGCCGAAGTACTTTGCGATAAAGAAGGCCAGCTTTGGGACGGGCATCCTACTGGAACGGGCGAGCCATATTGGGAGGATCGCGCCGAGGAGGGAGGCGACCAGAATGATGAAAATGGCTGCTATCCGCAGACCGTCGACGTTATCGTCCGGGACCTCGACCTCGCAGGCGGGCACATCGCGTCTTTTCATACTGCCAGCCTATGAGAAGCGGAGAATCAGATGCGCTGGCTGGGTCGAGTCGCACGCTCGCTCTACTCTGCTGCGCGGGGAGACAGAGAGTAGTTCAACAGGACTGCCCTACGGGTCCGGGGATGAGCATCCGGATCCGAGGTTGTGACCGCTCGTCGGTCGGTGACCAAGGTCTTCGACGGCGTGCTTTGGTGATTGAAGTCGTACGAAGCTTGGGTGAACCTCGCTTATGGAAAGTCGCGTGGGTTCTTGAAAACAAGGGGAGGCTCCTGACGATGGTGTTTTTTTTTTTTCTCTTTCGAGATTTAGTTCTAGGTTGTCTCTTGGGAGGAGATTTTCCTGACTGGAGCCGCCGGTCTTTTCTTTCCCGCAACTGCGAGCTGTGGTGGGTAAAGTAGGTCAGGTTGGTAGGTAGGTTTCGAAGGCGTGGATGAGAACCCTGATGGACATGCGATGTAAGACAGCCACAACAGGTATGGGCTACCTGGCAATAGCTGTTGTCTTGGCGGGTACACCAAGTACTGGTACCTACCTAGCCTCATCAGCACCTGAGGTGTCAGAGCGGATGACAACCCACGTATGTATCCTTAGTCAGGTACAACACACCTGCACCCGTCCTTGGAGCATCGTCTACTTTATCTTGCCAGCTACCTACCTGGCTTACAGTATATCTATACCTAGCACGTGCCTAGGTAGGCCTGCTTTCATGGATGCGACAGTTTGTCACGCCGTAGGTGGCCAATGCCAATGCCAATGCCAATGGGGCACGGACAGCGATAAGGCACCCTGTAAGACAACTGACTGAAGGTATCTAGGGGGGGATTCCGTAGGAATGACACAAGCGACAGCTCTTGCACAGCGCCGCGCTGCACAGAGCAGAGGTGCCCCAGCCATAGTTCAGCTATACCTAGGTATTAGGTATGCCCACCGCTTTATCCTATGCGCAAGCAGTCAACGTCGATGATTCTGCTGCCTGTCTACCTGGTACGTACGGTGTGTCACCCCTGTCTACATTGGACAAGTCCAATCAGGCTGTTGTAAATGACGCCGCGGCAGTCCACACACGGGTCACCAGGGCCGTTCATTGCCTTCCTTATCTTATGCCTCACCGAGGTCTTTGAATCTATGTATCCTGCCTGACTTGCAATGGCAGATTCTACACTATGATGTGAGACATAGCAACTGACAGCATGGACTTGAGGCTACTCTAGATAGATACCTGCCAGTGTCACACGACAACCGACACCTGCACATTTCGATAAGAACCCTACCTATGTAGGTAAGGTAGGAGTGCGTGATTGTCTTTGTTCTCATTGGACGCACGAACGTCACATTTAGCTTCCGCCCGCCTTCTGCGACGTTTTACACCCGCAAAAAGCGAGCCCAGCGCAAAAGAAAACTCAGATGGCGGGTGAAGTGTCCATCAAGGTTCTCATTTTGATCCGGCCCGCCTTGCGCATTGGGTGGCCAGCCACGAATACGGCCAAGGGTTCCTAGCTAGAATTCAGCGCTGCTTACCTAAACAAGGCTCAACCAAGCTGTCCCCAAAATGACTTGCACTTTGAAGCAAAGCTCCTCCCCGCCCGCCTTCCGGTGCTTCGAGAGCACCTACACAACTTTGACAACGAATTGTCAATTCTTTTGTACTACCTGGCTTGTCACTCGCTGTCTCGGGGTATCCAAAGATTAGTGGAAGACACGAAGATGTGATGGTGATGTGTCATCTGGCTGCATCTGCGGTTCAGTTCTTCTCAATATATTCGAAGGTCTTCTACAGTGCATTTCAGCTGCTATTCTGCTTCCCGGACAGTCTTGAGCTGCATGCATACATTTAAGCAAGAATTTAGGACTATGGCTGTGGGTGGTGATTGCATCCATTGATGGGTCTGAAAAGCCTATGTCAAGAGGCGCACAGGAGGAATAGTTTGGAGGGACTAAACAAGGCTCTACTTCTTGTCGCCAAAGAAGCCATTCGTTTCATGCAGACAGCTGATGCTAAACACCTAAACACTGGGAGCCCATCACGATCAGACCACTGGATCAAGAATTGGATAGAATCATAGGGAAGCTCAAGCATTGTCGACGATGGGTATGATCCATTTTGATACGCCTAAAGGACCCTATGCAGCCAGAAATCTAGAACCGTTGTCATTCATGATGTCGCCAATTACTCGTCATCCTCCTCCTCCTCCTCAGCCTCGGCGGTCGTCTGAGCAATACCTGCGAGATTTTGTCAGCATGTCGATGGACGGATGATATACCGCTTTATGTGGGAAACTAGATGGGCAAAACATACGGTCCAGATCCCGCTGGCCGGACTGAGTGATGCGGCGGCCACCCTTCTCCTCATCCTGCTCCAGAACACCAATCTTCTCCAGAGCCTGCATGATCTTGCGGTCAACGCTGCCGCTAGCATCGACGTGCTTAGAGGGGCGAGAGCCACGGTTCTTGGCGGAGCCGTGGACCTTTCGTAGACGACCGACACCGACTGTCTTCCTCAGGTAGACATGACGGGCGACGGAAGCGGCGCGGACGTAGAACCAATCGATGTCCTGAGGGGGGAGCTCCTTGGCGGGTCCGGTCTTGACGGTGTCAACCCAACCTGTATTGCAGGGCAACTTGTCAGCAGCGCCCAGTGGATTGACAGGGGAGCAAAGTGCAAGCAAGGTCTTGCAGGATCGCACGGGTCTGCAACATACCAGGAATGGGAAGCTTGCCCTGACGCTTCAGGAAGCCAGCATATGCGTTGATGAACTTGTGCGCCTGTATTCATGGAAGACCACCAATTAGCATGATTCCGTCGTCGGGAGTCTTGCGACTCCCTCGCGCCTGCTCCTTGATGTATCCTGCCTCCGGTCCTGTTTGCACGCAGACTCTGCTCGCTCTCCATCGGGAGAAGTCATCACCTAGTCAACTGGTACCGGGCGACAATGGGTATGCATCATGTCGAATGGGCCAGGGCCAGGGCCGTCACGATGGGAAGCTGAGATCACCTACATCGACATCGCGAACAGTAACTCCGCCAGCCATTTTTGCGATCTTGTCTTCTTCTGCTGCTGACTGAGAGGACGGTGTGGATTTGGTTCGTGTCGTGGTCGGTCGTCGTGATGAAGGCTCGACTGCACTGGCGGGGAAATTTTCGCCTGGACGCCGTCGCTCTAGCCGAAAATTAGGGTTGGCCCTCTTCGACGGGTCACTATTATCTTCACGTGATTCTGCACCATGACCCTTGCCGGCTGCTGACAGCTAGCTACAGCTATTGCCAGCTGCGAGCAGCTGGTGCTGGCATTACTGCAATCATACCTGCTCACGATATTCAGGACATTATGAGATGAAATGAACTTGGAGACGTATGTATCATTTTCTTTCTCGATGGATCAAGTTGATCGTACTGATTATATGAAGTCCCTGCATAGTTGCGTAACCTTTTTTTCTCTCGCTAATATCGTGTAGCTGTCACAATTCAAAGTTTGATCGTTTTCACTATCCGTTCAGAATGAAGAGGCAACCCCAAGACCATAACCAAGAAGACATTGACTGAAACTACATGGCCATGCCTAAGTGTGTCGAATCTGTATGTGCCAAGGCGTCTTTGTACACATGGAAGTTTACACTTGAAATGTAAGATACTTCCTTCAGACCATCGGCATTACGTGAACTTGGGTGAATTAAAACCACATGTCCTCGAATGAGTCTCCATCTCGTAAAGTCTCCAGTAATCTCTACTATGGTTAGTGTTGCCCATGCGTTATATTTGATCTCTTCACAATAACCTTCGATAACCAAATGTAGTTCCAGTGTGCGCCTTACATCGTACGAACCAGTGCAATTACAACCCTTGAAGTAATTCGAGTCAAAACATATCCAAGCAACTTCTAGTTCAGACTGAAAACTTGGAGGACTGCGTTCCACTGCGCATCGACCGTCTGATTCTTCTGAGGGTTTGATGCTCTCTTTTTCTGTCTCTTTTGGACTGACCCGGTGCCAACGAGAGCTTTCCATAGCCAATGCACAACTCCATTTGCCTCTTGTCGCTAAGCAAGCTACCTAGGCAGCCAAATTTTCCGGAACACTCCAAGAGCAATTGCGGCCAGCATTTATTTGATGATGGGGGATTCTGGTTTCTTCAGACTAAGACAATAATCTTCACAATGGACTTAATATCACTGTCTCTTCCCACTTTAACCAATAGTCACACTGTAACGTTCTCAATATGAGTCATCCTTCTGATGATTAGTTGTAGAGTCTTGCGGCCAGCATATATATCTATACTCTTCGATGTGAAGCGAAACATGTTCAGTCCCTATTCGCTATGTTCTCCGGCCCGTCCAGATCTCAGAAAGAGCGACCTGATGAATTTATTGTCTGGCTCGCCGATACCAGCCCCGCACGGTTGCAAATGAAAAGCGGCCAGCTGCCGGCTGAAGCAAGTAGCCATCCTGGACAGAGTGGGTCTCTAGGGCCGATGAGCCCGAGGTCTGTTGTCGGAGGGTGCGGGTATTTAGACGAGATGCACGAGGACGAGACGGGAAACGCTGCCGACCCTCCCGGCACCTTTCAAGGCGCATCGCTGCAGATCCCACTTCGGCCACAGAGTCAACTCACGCCACCAATGGATCCACGGCGCACCGTATTTCCGGCAAGAAAGAAGCCTTATTAGCACGCAAGACACCCCGATTGCCGACTCGGAGATTAAGGGTGTTCCATGACAGGACCGAGAGAAGGGCACCCACCTCTGATTACCAAGCTGTCTGCCCAATAGCCCCACGCGGCGGTCTGCACTGGGCAGCATCGCTGCTCACCTCTTCCTAGCCATGAATCCTGTAGGATACGTCAGGCGGGCTTCGATCCTAGCGACTCCGATGGAGTCCGACCTGGTATGCTTGTCAAATTGGCCGATATCGCGAGGTACGGGAGTCTTTTTTCAAGGCTGGCTCTAGTACACATGTCAGCAGTGCCCCCGAGGGTTCCGACTGTAATCTTGTCGGAGTCATACGGCGGGGTGGGAGATGTCACACGCCCTCAGTTATATCTTAGCGAGGCTGCACATGCAGACGTGTGATTCTTACACAGATAGGCCTGATAAGTACTTGTTATCCAGCCCCTCTTCCCTACTTCTAAAAGTAACCTGATTTCCTACATTCGTTCGTTGTGCTCTGACGTACCTGGTTATCCTTTTGCCATTGATTCCCCTGGCAACACCAGCGGCTGGTGCTGATGCCATCGTTTCTCCTTCCCATACTATAACGCCCAACTCAATAATGGCTGTTAGTACAGCAGTTCCCTTACGCCCTCCTCAGCTACGATCACTTGCTGAGTCCGGGCGTGAAAGCACCTCCACGTCTGAGACGCTCACGGAGAAGGCCGTGGACACTGTAAGTCCGGGAAAGCGGCACCGGAAGTTGCTGTTTCGGGATAGGAGAAGTGGAAATGCGAAACCGGAGGACGTCGATCGGTCGGCGTCGCCAAGCCGGCCTAAGACTTTCTTAGCAGCCCTCAGATCCCTATTGACAATGTCGCCTAAGCAAGTGGATGACTTCATGGCGAGTTATCTGATTTACACGCTTGACTGGGCCAATGAGAAGCAGATGGTAGACACACTTGGCCCCAATTATGCCGAGAAAGTCGGGGACTGTCTCAAGGCGTATTACGGGACACTGAATGCCCTGTGCTCTCTAGGAGATGTTGAGAAGATGTACATTCCACCTCTCATGGACAGACAGATGTCTGTCCGAGACAATCAGTTGATGTACGAAGAATCCATTGCTCGCGACATTGAGCTCAAGAAAGGTGATCATGTATTGGACCTCGGCTGCGGGCGGGGCCGTGTTGCAGCTCATATGTCATCCTTTTCGGGAGCGGTAGTGACTGGTTTGAATATCGACCCGGTCTCAGTAGCGGAAGCTCGTAGCTACAACAGCGAGCTTGGCTTCCAGAACAGCTTTGTGGTAAAGGACTTCAATGATCTGCCACTACCATTTGCAGACGAGAGTTTCGATGCATTCTACCAGATACAGGCCCTGAGCTTAGTGAAAAATATCCCGGCCTTGTTTAAGGAGGTTTTTCGGGTTCTCAAACCAGGAGCGAAACTCTCATCTCTAGACTGGGTGAGCCTCCCGGCATATAATGCCGAAAGTGCGGAACATCGTGAGCTCATGGCTCGCGTAAAGCCACTCATCGGGGCGGTGGGAACTCCCACACCGGAGATTCTGGAGGATGCTCTAGTGAATGCAGGATTCATAGTCACGCGATCAGATAACGCCAGCATCGATGGTCTTCAGGCGCCGCTAATCGACAAAGTTGACGTGTACTTCCGTGGCTTGCGCCAGCTGGTCTTGGGACTAGTCAAGTTACATATTCTTCCGGCACATATGAAGATATTGCTTGATCGCTTCTGTCTGGATGGTCAGGCTTTCGTAGAAATGGACAGAAAGCGCCTAACGACGACATCGTACCGTCTCATTGCGATCAAGCCACTGAAGGCATGAGAATAGGGCAACAAGCTTTACATGTTAAACAACAACCGTTTGGCTAGAGCAATGGCCTGAAAATCCACAGAATATCTTCATTTCATTTCCCTCTCTATCATGTTTGATTCGGCCGTGGTCGAGGAAAGAAGGCTATAGAACTGTGAATTTCACACGGGGCTTTGGACTCATGACGATGGTAAGCATGTTCGCTGATTTGCCTGTGGGAGCGGGTGCTAGAGGGCATGCGTCAAGCCAGACAGGCTGAGAGGAAGAGCGTCTCGACTACAGCTAATAGGGCATAAACATGCAGAGATGCAGGCTGATAGCGCCCTGAGTAGATAAAGATGTACTGAGCGTTGGTTTCCGTTGCCTAGGAGAATGCCGAGGGCATCTATTAATACACCACATGAGAGAAGCCACTGTGCCATTGCTTCACGCTTGAGCCTATCCATTATATTGAACATCTCCGAATGAAGACCAGCCACTGCCATCTGAATTACATGAGGTTGATTGTAGACTGCTTACGCCCAGAATCATCGAACAAGCAACAGTGTGTCAACAGTGTGAATACAAGTGAATGATCGGAACCTAACTGCACTATACAATCAGGCGAGGTACACCGTGCAGCTTGCCAGCTGTCGCAATGTTAGCGTGTTCATTCATTGAGACGAGAGTCACGGAAATACCATATTTGATGCATAACAAATGGGTACGAAGGAGTGAGGTGGTTGGAGAGCAACTCGTGGTTGAAAATCAAGCTCCGCTGGCAGCTGGCTTGACAAGAAGCGATGCTAGAAAGTCGAATTAGGGCAGGTAAGAACCAGAATACCCGGGCCGCCAAGAAGGTTGAGAACTTACGACGGTTTGCAGGGAGTAGACAAAAATTTACATGGTGATTGCGTGAAACTAGATATCCTGGTCTCTGATCATGACCCACGGGTCATCTTCGGGCTCTGTTGGAGCTTCTGGTTCGACATTTTCCTCTTTCGCCTTTTGGCCAGTTCCAGGCGTGGAAGGTGCGGTATATTCTGAGGGGAAGTGTATCGCTTGATTCGTACGAGCAACCATGCTTGCTTTGGGTGCTGTAGACGATACACCTCTGCCATCCCCGCAACGGCATCTAACATGGCCATTGGATAGATTAGCAAGATCAGGAGATGAGACATAGTTGTACAGTGGGTTCGTAAATTGATCAGTCTCGGAAGACTTCGAGGGAGTGCACTCAGTGTGATAGTCAGCGGTGGATGCTAGGTGAGGATTTCCTGACTGCGGAGCTGATTGGCCAGAGACATGGTGAGGTCGATTTGGTGAATGACATGCAGTCTTCGTCTGTCCTATCCCATTTTGGTAAACATTCTGTGTAGTTGCAAGATCCAACGCCTGAGAAGTATTGGTCGACTCGGTCTTTCGGTCGGCTAGGGTGGTGTCTTGATTGCTCGCCACAATGTGAGGGCCAGTATTCGCTGTACTGATACCAGTGCCGTGAGGGATGCGCATGGCGGAGGAGAGAGCTTCATTAGAGGGTCTAGGAGGGTTTTTGGAACGGATCAGAGCCAGCTTAGCCTGCTCGTTAACGTCCTCGTTGACTCTATCAGCTTCAGCCTGTGTCATATGATATACGCCATATGTGTCTCCAGCGGGCATGCCAATGTAATCAGATGGCATGTGAGACTGTCGGGCAAACGGGGGATCATGGTGAGATGGTATTTGGGAATTGACGGAGCCATTCTGGATATACGTGGGCGAGTAGGGATTGATGTGACCTATGCCTGGCTCACAGGGATCGTTATTGCAGCTACTGTAGATATAACCGCTGCTGGGGGGTGTTTCTGACTGAGCCATGGTAGGCACCCCGAAGAGGGGGCTGCCATTAGGCCTTCGAAGAACTGTGCTGCCAGGACCTAGAGAGTTCGATGAAGATGGTCTCTGCGTGTTGATGCCGACTTCAGAGGCTATGCTTGAAGGGACTAGAGAGCTGTCACCAACAGGCACGGCCCCGGTTCCCGAGTAAGGGATGGTGTAGGGGTGAAACTTGTCTCGCTTCGACGTCATTGTCAGCTTTTCTATGGGCGCTCGTACTCGATGCCTGAAATCTGCTATCTTTTGTCTGTCAATTGCTGGCTACAGGCCGCAGGACAGTGCTCCAAGGTTAATCCACAGAAAATGGGCCAAGAGGTGAACACAGATGTTGGAGTCTTGGGACTGGGATGTTTAAATACGATAATATCCCCCGGAACCAGAGATTTTATGGTGATGTTGTCCACTGTGTGGTGATAAGTGACGAAGGCAAAAAGAAATCATCACGGGGATGAGTACTTATGTCGTGCGCGTTAGGCATTGATTGTTGAACGGCAGGAGTCTGGAGCACAAGACAACAAGGGTGACTGCTGTTTTGGGTGACAATGTTCTAAGATCACCCTACCCAATATAAGTCAGATAAGGCAGGTGCGCAGTAGCCACCGCAACGAAGTTTGCTCCTTCTTTCAAGCAGACTGCCAGATCATCACAGGGTTGACTTATAACCACTCAACGTGATCTGGCCGACACCACAGACTGACGTCATAGCTGTCCTTGCTATCATGGCAATCAACTAGATCACTGTGATTGAAGACATTTGCTATGTCACATGCTTCAAACAATGAGATGGATAGGGTTTTCAAGATGATCTATATCACTTGCCCTGTACAATGTTTCCATTACAACTTGGTGGCTATTCACCCATGTCCTGACGAGGACCAGCTATTTATTTTGGCATATACATCGGTTGACTAGGGTTGGCCTGGACTGTATTTTGAAGATTATTTGGGTTATTTGGTAAATCAACAGGTTCCGACAAAGAGAATTCCTACAAGCTGTACCTGTGCGTGGAATTTCACCACCTCCGCTCTGGGATTCTCTCCTCTGAATATCCGGCTCACTGTATGCGGATTTAGGCTTCTGGCCTTTGTCTGTGTATGTTGTTTGCCGTTAACGGAACTCGACATGACATTGAAAGATGTCCGAAGTCTTGTCGAGAAACCACCACCAACATAGAGAGGTACGAGAGTGAACACATGGCTTGTAACAAGACTCGTTTCTTATCCATGCCCCTGCATGACTTACTGGATGCTATTTGATGTTTCAGCTACGATTGAGGAGTGCACACTTGCTCAAAGTCAACCTATTACCTATAGGCTATACCAAAGGATTGATCTATTATGGCTCTAACTGGTAGCAACTATTTCATTTGGAATGAAAAGTAAGGCTTACATGGTGATTGAATTACCTGGTATACTAAGGGCAATATACCTCCTCATTCTCATACAAGAAGTTGTCCTGGAACTGTGGGTTTAAAACTGCTGTTGCTAGTCTGGGTTCGTAGACATTAGCCAATTTCTTTTGGGGCAGCATTCACTTGAACTCTCCACTCTTCCCCATACCATCTTCGGACAAGAGCTTCAATAAAACACCCCAACCAGCTGAGCCACCAAAGACAGTATTACCCAACACCATCGGGATTACGGAATCAACCGCCGTGAAGCGCATCACAGGATGAAGAAGATTGGTATCTTTCCTGCATCTGGTGGGCTTGGGGGAAGCACCTATCGGCATTTGCTCAAGGTGGTCGCCAACGATAACGTCATTCTGATCAACCGACACCCCGACAAGATCCCGCAAGAATACGTCGATGCCGGAGTCATCGCACGGCCTGCGTCCTACGAATCTACCCCTGCAGAGCTAGAACAGGCATTTTCCGGGATCGACATATTATTTCTGATTTCTTACCCAAGTCACGTCCATGAGTATCGCGTCAAGGTATGAACCCTGGTTGAGAAATGCGATCAATCCGGAGACGAGCTTCGTTCGCTAATGACATCGCTAGGTGCAACTCCCAGCCATTGATGCGGCACGTCGTGCAGGTGTCAAGCACATATTCTACAGTAGCCTTGGCTTTGCAAGCGATCCCAAGACTCTCACCAAGGCGAGCTCGCTTGCTGTGGTCATGCAGGCGCACTTGGACACAGAGAGATACCTGGAGACCATCGCTGGATCGAACTCGTCCTTCACCTACACCTCAGTGCGCGAGGGCCTATATTCAGAGTCGTTTCCTATATACACCGCGTTCTTCAACCCCAAAGACCCACCCGAGCATGGTGAGATCCAGATCCCCCATGACGGCTCCGGTCCAGGCGTCGCATGGGTGAAGCGGGATGAGCTGGGAGAGGCGACGGCAGCATTGATTGCACGTTTCTCCGGAGTCGGGCCTCAATTTCCAAAGGCATATGTCAATGGGAAGGTGCTGTTGACTGGGAAGCGAGTTTGGACATTGGCTGAGACCGTCACCGAGCTTAGCAAGGTTGCCGGGAAGCCATTGAGAATCCGGCAGATCACAACTGATGAGTACGCTGCTCTTCCACAGGTTTTGAACCGTTTCGGGTCGAAAGAAAAGGCTCTCACATGGGCGACAGCCTGGGAGGCAATCCGCAATGAAGAGACTGCTGTGGTGTCGCCGGAGTTGGAGGAAATACTTGGGAGGCCACCGGAAGCATTTGATGTGACATTGAAGGAACAGTGGTCATGAAGACTGTCTAAAATCAACATGCATGGCCTATCACCGTATCTGTGTCTTGTTTCTGGCAGTGATGTCCCGATATTGTTTGGAGACCGAACAAGTAATTCTTCATTGGAAAACAAGAGTCCTTGCTGGTAGGGATACCACGTGGTGGCGCTGCGAGGGATTCCCAGCTACTGTACTGTACTGTGCCTGTGTGGGGACCTCAACTAAGAACTGGCCTGATGTCATTTAACATTGGTTGGATTGACCTGTCCGAATTGGCCTGCCATTCATCGTTCAGAACATGCAATGCATCAAAGTCGCGTTTTATGGCGCTCGTGTACAAAGAGCGACTCGATGATAACGGTCTGATGATATGTTCTACTCTCTTTCTTTTCAGTCCTAACAAGGTACCATCTTACACCCCGTATGTGTGACTAACCAGTGATGCCGAGTGCTGCATATCCGAGCTTCACAGCATGGCCAACCAAACCATCCAACAAGACAGTCCTCTTTCGATCACCGCCAGTGTAGCCGGCATTCTGACGTTTTTCGTTGCCATTGTCGCTGCGGCTTATGTCCGCGTCACTTACTTGAGAAATAGTGACGAGGAATACTTCAAAGTCAAGACGAGCCTGTCATGGTACAAGACAGAGTCACAGTGGCTTTCGGAGCTGATCCGGGCAGCTGGCAACGCCGACCGCCCCGGGTTTGCGGCCGGGCCGTACCGCCGGACGATGGAGTACCAGATGTACACATTCGTCATGGACGATCTCGTCAGACTGGAGGAGCGGCTTCTCGAGCTGCTCGCAGAGACTGAGGAGAAGGCCGCCAATGGAGAGGACGTAAAAGATGCTCGATTGGACGGCCAGCCGTGGACGCTTGTGCCGCGAAGCTGGACTTGGTGGAGTCGCACATCCGTGGCTATGTCTTGGTTGCCGGTCAGAGCCAAGGCGCTCGAGTTGGTGCGCCAGAGGGACGCGCTCACAGCGCGGGTGCTGTTTACGCAGATGAGCCTCATATCCTCGTGAGAAACCCCATCAATGGATCCATATTCTCGGGGACGGTCACGTCAACAGATGGAATGCTGATCATTTCAACAGAAGGATCAGAGACCTGGAACATCGCGCTGACGGGTGGGAAGCCAAGACCGGGGAGACTACAGGTCGGCTTGAAGACATGATTGGAAGCCAGCGGGATGAGTTACGGCGTCTTGAAGATGTAGTGCATCGTGTTATGCACAAGGGTCGTGCTTTCGACGGAGACGACCTCGGCCAGCAGTCGGCATAGCGGGCATCACTGCTTAACATTTGTGTGAATCCTGTGCTCTAGGCCAGAAACAGCGGTATGCCCAGGGCATAGCAGGCCTGGACCTACGATATGGTCCTGGTCATGATCTACTTGAAGTCATAGCCCCCCTGCCACAGGAACAAGGCAGCACATGCTAGGCTAAGGACGGCAAAGGGCAGGTCGAGCTCGATGACGGACCACACCCACAGACAGCCGAGAGGGGGCGCTTGCTTCATGACGGCGAGATAGTCGTATTTGTTGCTGATGTGGATGAGATAGCACCCAGCGGCGATGCTGGCGACGAAGAAGATGGCCTGTCTCAGGGCATTTTGGTATATCGCTGGGAGGCCGGGCAGTAATGTAGGGCTCGAAGAGTGGGGATGTAACGTGTAGAATAGCATAAAGAAGACTGCCAGAGATCAAATTCGTCAGAAATTGACATTCCAAGATGACAAGGGGGGAATGGAGGGGAATGGTGGTTCGAGCCGACTCACCAAAGAAGGCCTGGACGGCACGCGTGGAGACGGCGGACCAGGAGATCTGGACGGCGTATTGGTTCTGGACGAGAACATCGAGGGTGAAGTGTAGCATGGCCAGGCTGACTGTCCACAGGACCGAGTCCATGATGCGCTCGGCTATTGGGGAGAGGCCCGGCGCATCTTGGTCGTCTTCGTCGTCGTCGTCGTCGTCGTCGTCGTTCTCCGCGCCCGACTTCCGAGCCTTGGTCTTGATCTTGGTCTTCCGGATCTGCGCCTCTTGCTGCTGAGCCCTGCGGAAGAGGTCTTGTTCCTGGGCCAGCTGCAAAAGCGTTTGGTCTGTCGGGCCGGATCGGTCGGGTTGGCGGAGCTTGATGTTTTCAGCGGCGTCCTTTCGCTTGCGAGCCATGTTCTTCTTGCTTGGCTGTTGCCCTCTCTCTATGCGACGATTGAAGCCCTGTGGTATGTCGCCGAACCGAGAGATTGTTAAAGGAGACTCGGGGACTGGTCGTCAAATCGGCCTTCTTAGGCAACTTATAGCTGTTGCTCGTCAAGCTCTTAATATTGTTCTGGTGTGACGTTTCCTCTTGCCCAGTGCAAGTGCCGAGTAGGTCAGGTAGGCAAGCAAGCAAGCATCTGACAGCTGCAGGGTTTCTGGCTAAGTAAGACCCGAGACAACAGACAACACTTTCGGGCAATCAGCTCCCTAAACCGGAGCCCGGGCCAAAAGTGGCCGAGATTGTGTACGAACAGGCCAACATTGGGGTCCATTTGTGATATCTTGAATCATCCGGGGCAGCTTATATAGAGGTATACTGGGACATGTACGATATTCAATTCAAGAAGAAATGGGAGGATGCCTCAAATATGACTCTTGACATCCAATCAATAAGATACCTCATACTGTGCAGCACACCTCCTGCGCCTTACTGTACCTACCTTAGGTATGACGATGGTGGGGACAGGGGTGCTTGAACCTGGGGCTGAATTAAGATTACACCAGGTCATCGAGGCAATTTAGGGTGTACCTACTACTGCATAGTAGGTGTGTGGGCGCGTGCGTGGTACCTACAGTAAATCGCAAGGTGGCATTAACTCAAGTCATCATCCAATGCGACCCAGAGGCCGGAGTCAATCCCAATTGAAATGATTCTGCAGCATCTAATAGACTATATCTTTAGCTGTCTGTCTCTTCACCGAGGTATTTCATACTCATACTCATACTCTGATCTTGACACCTTGCGAGATATTCCCACCTCCCTCTTCTCTACTTGTACAGTACCGTGTCAGCAGCAGTCAAGTGCGTGTGCCCCGCGTTCAGCTGCATCCATCACCAGTCAATCTGCACCATCTGCATTGCTATCGATAGGATCGGAGGCCAAGGGGACGGCGGGCACCTTAGTTGGTTTCCGTGCCGTGCCTTGCCTTGCATAGCATAGCATAGCATAGCAGATTCGCATTCACTCCGTCCCTCCCTTACATCGACTCCTTACCTAGGGGTACCTTATCTTGATTGATATCGACCCTGACAAGGTCGATTGTATATCCATATCTTCTCTCGGCGGCGGCACCACCCCCATATCGCGCCCGCGCTCCGATCCGCTTCGCGGTCGCCAGTCGCTGCAGCCGCCGCGCCGGCCCACGACGAGGCGACAACCTCTGGCCGGGCTTCAAGATGGATTTGCTACTGGTCATCGGCTCCTTGCTGGTCATCCTGCCCGGCCTGTACATCTACACGGCCTCCGTCGTCCAGACCCGCTTCCCGACCCTGCGCAACAAGCGCATCTGTCTGCTCATTGCCCACCCCGACGATGAGGCCATGTTCTTCGCCCCTACCGTCCTCGCCCTCACCCGCCCCGAGACCGGCAACCATGTCAAGATCCTTTGCTTGAGTAGCGGTTAGTCCTCCTCTCTCCCCCAATATCCCCTTGGCCCCATTGGCCCTCGACTCGTGCTGACATGGTCTGCTCACGGTATCAGGCAATGCAAGTGGCCTGGGCGAGACTCGCAAGAAGGAATTGGTCAAGAGCGGCATGATCCTCGGTCTGCGTAAAGAGGACGACGTCTTCGTCATCGACAACCCGGCGTATGTGCAGCCTGCGACCACCCCCCACCGTACTATACCACCACTACCCATGATCATGAGAGCTAACATCACAATGACACAACCAGCGACTTCCCCGACTCCATGACGACGACCTGGGAGCCCCAGAAGATCGCCGCCCTGCTCTCCAGCGCGTTTGCCCCGCACCTCGCCAAGTCAAAGGGCTCCGACGCGGTTGCGCCCACCGCCACTATCGACGTCCTCATCACCTTCGACAGCTCCGGCGTCTCCTCCCATCCGAACCATATCAGTCTCTACCACGGCGCCCGCGCCTTCGTCGGCTCCCTCGCCCACGGCAAGGCGGGCTGGGCAAATCCCGTCGACCTGTACACGCTGACGTCAGTGTCGTTCCTGCGCAAATACGCCAGTATTCTGGACATCGTCTCCACGCTCACCTCTTGGGCAATTGGCGCGGATAAGAAGGACAAGAAACATCCGGGAGGGCTGGTCTTCTTGAACGGGGTCGGCGGCGCCGGAGGCAACCTGGGCACCGCCTGGAACGCCATGACGAAGGCGCACAAGAGCCAGATGGTCTGGTTCCGCTGGGGCTGGATTACCTTCAGCCGGTATATGGTCATGAACGACCTGCGCCTGGAGAACGTGAAGTCTCAATCGTAACCGGTGATATACTACTTACGATCTATGTCCATATCACGTATCTAGACTGTAGCCACGAACAAGGGTATTATCACCAGTGACGGTCTGGTTCTCAAGGAGGCTAGATCTGCCTACCAGCGAAGACAGGCAACACTCTTCAAGCCCCACCCATCAAAATTGAAAAGAAAGAAGTTAATTGTCAATCGAGTCGTGTTAGTCTAGAGAAACTATGTACCGGCTGGATGGTATTGAATGTGTGAATACTTGTGACCTATGAATGTATCCCCGTGCAGCCAATTCCAAGGCCGTTGCTCAAGTCAGTTCCCGCTCCAGCCACCTTGCCGGAAGCCTGCCATCGACGCTCAGACGTTCAGGAGCACGCACTTCCGGCCGTGGGACCCTCGTGGCTCTTCTACGCGCAAGACGAGCAAGGTAGGACCTCTGTTGTGCGATCCAAGGGAAAGCTGACAAGGGGACGCCCTCCTCTTGGCGGAAGCCTTGAGCAGGCAACTCGACCGACTGTCGTGTTTTGGGAATGCTTGTGGCTGGGTTCTCGACTTTGATGTCTACGTAGCCCGTCGCTGTGCGGTACGAGAGTTTGGGAGGCATGAATTGCCCGAACTCATCGATGAATTGTGGCAGAATCCGCACAATCAACTCATCATCGTATCCCCTGCCCCGAACGCGTTTGAGCAATCTCCTGCACCATGTGTTGAAGCAATGCCATGTGTAGGCTTTCTGTGATTGAGCTATGCGATAGCGTTGCATGGCCGCGGTTGCTTCCACCTGTTGACCCAGCGTTTGAACGAGTTCAAATAGCGCGTTCTCGTTCTCCTGGACGGCATCGTCGTAGAAATACCGGAGTTCTCTCATGAGGTCCATTACTCGAACCAATTGACCCTGTGCGATGAGCTCCTGGAGCAGGATGTTGTACTCTTTGATGCCCGGTTTGAAGTTGTACGGTTCCTTAACCATCGTGTCCCATACAAGTCGAACTGCCTTCCCGCTGACAACCTTTTGGGGGAAGTTAGCAATCTTCCACTCCCAAGCCACTTGTTTCGAGGCGAGGATATGGGTCCACTCGAGCAAGGATGACCACGTTTCGTCTCGCACATGAAGCCCATACCTCGTGGAGATGAAGTCCACGAGCTTAAGGGCCATGGCAACCTCTGCATTGCAGCAGAAGCCATGAACAACAGCGTCGAGAAGACGATCTGATGGTACTAGGGGCGAATCAGGCGGTAATGATCGCCCACCCCCGACTTCAACTTCTCCCGTGTATTCGTTCTCGTTAATTGTGATTCCCCAGTACTTTAGCAGCGCCCCTCGCAAGGCATATAACCCTCCTGTCCGAGCTTGAGCAATCATGATGGTACAGACAAGTTTCTCGTCGGGCGCAGCGCCAACAGTGTCCATCGCTGCCACCACTCGTGCTACCGGTTTCGGCTTTCGCAGCAATCTTGTGATATGCTCTGCATAATCGTCTACGTTCGGGTTCTGCCCGAAGCGGTGCATCTGACGACGGAGGATTGACGTGCGCAGTCGATCTATTTGGAGCACTGTATCTGAATGCATCATCAATTTGGCACGATGAAGATTCCTTGGTCTGACACGAAACCGGGCTAGGTCGTGCTGGGTGTAAAGAGGCTCGGTCAAGAATCGAGCTCTGCAGAAATCGTTGTATATCTCGGCCTGCCACCAGTCCGTGTATCCATTTCTTATCATCTCATCCTCAAATTGCTTAACGGTGTTCACATCTGAGGCAGCACCGGCGCATCTCAAGAGTATGTTGTAGTCTGACAATAACAATTGATGCCCAGCTCCACGTCGGAGCGCGACGATGGCCTTCATATAGCGCAAGAGCCTGACGTATAGAATCTTGATACCGAACGTGTCAACGAGATCGCTTAGTGGAGTGTGCTGCGTCAGACCCGGCCCGACTGGGGCTTCATTAGCCACGTCTACCTCTCGTCTGATGGCGAACGGATCCAGGCGACGTAGGAGCTCAGAGAAAGCAGTCTGGGGGAGGTTCGCAACGGCAGCTCGCATCTCCTCGCCCGCACTCGTGTCAGAGACCAGGCGCCGCAGATATGAGTGGATTTTTCCAGAATTGCCTTGCTCTAAAGCCTTGAGAAGCCCTCTAGTCGCCCGATTGACCGAGGATGGCTCGGCGACGTCAGAGGCAGGCTCGCCCGACCCCGACACCTTGGCTTCTGACTCATTCTCGAGAGAAGATTGTGGCCCCTGTCGCGAAAGCACAACCTTTGATATTGAATCATGATCCCAAAAAAGCCCGTGACTGTCGATATCATACTGATCGATAGTGCTGGTAGGAGGGTCTGGCAATAGGTCGGTCCCATCGAGCCGTCGAGCTGTCGACAAAGTTGGAATGCGAACAGGTTTCGCGGTTTGAAACGATCGACCGAGGCCACGGCTGAGAAGTTGTGATGTTGTTCTCTGCGCATGCTTCCGGCTGACCGCTCGCGAGGCGAGGGCCTCGACGCCTAGTAGCACCGCAAACATGGACGCTCGTGAACTGGGATGGGCATGTCGGGTGGGGGGTCCCTCGGGGTTGATACCGTCTCTGTTTCTTGCTACTGAAGCTTTTTGCCTCAGACAGCACCATGGGACGCGATTCGCGGCAATGCTTTGGGTTCGTCGCTCGTCTGTTTGACGCCAACGGTTTCCCCAGATTCGTTTCGTGGTGGGATAGCGGAAATCCGGGGAAAGGACCCATTATCCCCACCTGGCTTGAGACAGTCGCGAAGCCATGTGGGAACACTGTTGACACTAACAAGATAGCATCGGGGCCAAGGTTTTTCCCTACGCCGGTCGAGATCCAACCATGCCTTTCCCACCTCACCTGACTCAGCACGTGCTGAGGCGGACAATTTATTGGTCCGTGCGTAGGGACGGGCGGACAGGCTTGGGTGAAGGGATCTGCGTAGGGGCCTCTTCAATTGGTCGACCTCACCACTGATTCAACCTTGCGACCTGCGCCAGCTTCCTTGACACTCACATCAAGCACACATACACACACAACATGGCTGATGTTGGGGAAGAGTCAACGACGGTCGCCGAGCCGCTTGACCTAGTTCGGCTCCTTCTGGACGAAGTGGTTTTCGTGAAGCTTCGAGGCGATCGAGAACTGAAAGGACGGCTTCATGTATGAGACAGCGCCCCTTGCCCAGCCCAAAGCATGCCACCGTTGCTGCCGCAGGACACGCGGACTGACCATGATCATTTGTAGGCTTACGACAGTCATTGCAACCTTGTGCTGGGTGATGTCGAGGAGACAGTCTATGTTGTGGATGAAGATGAGGATGACGAAGAGATCAGGGTACGTAATACCTAGCCTTGTCGTCCGGCGGACCATGCATATCGCCGGAATTCATGCTGATATTCTTGTAGACCGTGAGCAAGAAGTCGGAGATGCTCTTCGTTCGTGGTAGGTTTTCATGGTTCCTGTGCGCTTGATTTCTGCTGACTCTAGAAAAGGTGATAGCGTGGTGTTGATTTCTCCTCACGGTCAATCATGACAGTGAACAGGTCAAAGCCCAATGAGAAAGACCCTAGCTGGTGAAGGAGCCTACTTGAATTTGCTTACCGTCGAACGGTATGAAAATGGCTCCTTGAGCTACCGACGGTGATAGTCAATATTAAGGAGCGATGCTCTTTTCATGCCGTACTCATGAGACGGTACGAAGAGGGAGAGATAGGCCGTCTAATATGATGCCACGGGTCCGCAAGAAGGACCTATTAGATTCGCGAATACAGAGCTATATTGAATCATTGTGTCTAGCTCCTACGTCATGTCATGTTGCAACGTAATAATGAGCTACCGGAATCCCTAACGCCAGTGGACCTGGAAACGAACTGGGATTGAAGTGCAACGCCGGCCAACCCACCATGTACAAAAGCAATGCTATGAAAGAGCAGTGTCTCGCATTCACCGAGAAACTGGGTAGGGAAGCGAATCCTAAGCACCAACCCGGACCTCGGTCCCTACAGGGGCAGTCGCCTGTTCGCCTTGCCCTCCTTCACCTAGTGTGTCGTCTGATCTTGCCCTCAGAGGATGCTGAGGGTCGTAGCCGACTGACTTGACGATCCCCAGACCCTTCGTCCTGCCCTCGCGGAAAAGTAGGCGATCGCCTGGCGCTAAATATTCTGGTCTCTGGACAAATTTAAAAGCGACAGTGGCTCTGTCTCCCGTTCGGATAAATTCCCGGTCAATGTCGATGATCGCGCATGTCTGTGAGACGGGACCAACGTGCAGCATGGCTTGATATTTTGGCTTGATCGTAGTCGCATGAGACAAGATAAGCACTGTAATTGTTAGTACCTTGACTGCTTGGGTAAGTTGGATGCACGTGTGACAGATACCTTCAGCGACAAACTCGCGGTGCACCTTCGGGGTTGGCTGGCCTTCAATTTTGGGCAAGACAACCATTCCCTTTCTGACATCCTTTCTCCTAACTTTCTTCAAAGCAAACGAGGCTGACTGGCCTGCAGATGCAGCTGGAACGCCAAGGCGTTTCCTCTCTATCGAACGGATGCTGGTCGTGGTGAACTGGCCCAAGGAATCAGGACCAACGAGTACATTATCTCCAGCATGAATGACCCCTGACTTGACAATGCCGGAGACGACGGTCCCCACAAAGGGCACAGAAAAGGTATCGTTTATGTGAAATTCGAAAGGAGCGTCAGCATCGTATCGTCCGTAGTGCGGGAGGATGTTGAGAAATGTTCGGACCAGGTCGAGGTTCTCACCAGTGACATTGGAGACCTGGAAGATCGGACATATACGCTGGCTGACGAACTGGGTGGCAGTGTTTATGCATTCCTCGCGGCTGTTTATGAAGATAGGGATCTTTCTTGCGCCTGGACTCTTCAGGATCTTCTGGATCTGTGTGATTGTCTGCTCAAGGATGTGAGGTGGGCATATGTCGATCTTGGTGATGACAACCATGACAGGCACATTGAGGGCTAGCGCAATACCAAGATGCTCTTTGCTCATGCCGATGAGCCCGTTGTTGGCTGCCACCATGAGCAGGCAGTAATTTGGGCTGCTAGACAGAAGCCCAAAGACTGTGGTTCGCAAGTATCGTTCATGGCCTGCCAGGTCAGTGAATGTGATGACTTTAGCGCTCCGCTTGCCAATCTCTTCCCACGACAGCTTTCTTCCAGGAGTATCAGAAGTGATGACGTTGCCATCGGTGTCGAATCCCATGATTTCCATCCCGACGGAACTTGTTCGACCGGTTTCGATCTCGTGCTTATGTCTGAAGAGGTTGACTCGGGCCTTGCCACGGCCATCATCCAGGTCACCTTTCACAAGAACTCCGAGCATGGAGCTCTTTCCAGCATCAACTGATACAATGTTAGTAGGCCGTAACTGAATACGCGTGCATGAATCTGAATGAAGTCCTGCCAGGGAGTATAGCGAATTACGGGGGCGTACCATTGCCGACAACAGCAATTCTCGTCTCAATAACATCCTCCACCGTTGCGGGATTCTGTCGAATAAGTACCTTCCCACTGCAATCCTTGTCTTTGGCATTCGTCGAGCCTTCAACTTCGCCGCCGACATTCTTGGTCAATAACAGCTGGCAAGAGGCGCGGGCTATACTCGCAGCCTCCTTCAGCCGATCGAATGCCGAAGTCCAATCGGCTTTGGTGAAATGCATCGAGTCGCCATTGTTCTCGAAACCCACTTCGTACAAAGTCTCGCCGTGGCCCTCTTCCAGCCGCTCCGTGACTAGCTCGACGAGTTTCTGCATTGTGTTCTCATCGGTGCCGAGCAGCAACTCGCGTAGGGGCACGCGGGGTCCTGAGTCGGAGAGATCGAGGGCATCGAGAATGTCATCGAGTTCGGCGTGATGGTGAGGATCCTCCTCCGGGGCGGGTCCGGAGTTGGACGGGCCTGTCTTGGAGCTAGGATAGCGCAGAGCCTGCTGCTTTTCGACATACTCGGCAAAATCGCTGAGAGCGGCCTCTCCCTTCCGCTTTTCGTGACCCATCGGCTTCGTCGTCTTGCTTGCCATCTTGCCTCTAACACTAGATTAGTGTCTAGTCCAAGACATGGAGCTGTCCGAGTGAAGACCAGTGGGACTCCCAATGGCTCCAAGACGACTGAAATGTAATCCGGCGGTAATATGGCCACTCACAGGTTCTGTAGAGTTACTCGTATGATATTCGGGTGATCATTGTATTATGCTTGTTCGAATGCTATGCGGTTCTCACTGGTGGTGTCTTTTCTGATAATCAATCGGTCATGGATGGTATGGAGAACAGGAGATTGAATAACCGTTGTGATGCGGATGGAATGGCTCCAGTCTTAAATGCCGCCTTGCGATGTGTGGCTGTGGTTTATCCTCCTGCTGCTGGCCGGATGAGCCATCCAAAGTGTCGAGGTGGTCGAGTCATAGTTTGGCGCGCACCGTCTGCCCCAGAGAATGAGTAACCGTGGCGTGGTGTCGAGCTAATGGCGGGGGAGCTCTTATCGATAAGGAGCTTCAGCAAAGACCCTGGGCTGGGATTCATCCCACCTTGTTATGCCCATCCATCATCATCATCGGTTTCTCCGCTAATCGGTATCGCTTTTCAGCTACTTAGGAAGCGAAAGCATATTGGAGCAAGAGATAATTGGGATGAGACTAAGGTACATGGTGCTGCCAGCCTGATGAGACGCCTTCACTCTATTTCAACTACAGCCGCCTCTACAGATTAGACCCTCGGCACCATGGCATTGCCCCTCCATGCCTCTCTCTCTTCACAACTACATCAGATGGCCAGGATGGAAAAAGAAAACTCATTTCACAAAATGGTTACAATGTATCAAAGTGGTACTTTCACATTGACTAATGCGCTACAACGGTTCTAAGCTGTAGCTCCTGCCATCCGGCACCTGAGGGGCGCGGTAGAGGCGGTTTCGTCCTTCCAACCCATATTGGAGAACCACACAATCCTCAAAACGCCTTGCTATGCGGTGTTTTCATTGCCATCCCGGTATAATGATTGCCTATCACCCATACTTTTTAATGTCTCCATGCACCGTTTCCTGATCAAAACCCTAAATGCTCAAAAGCTATATTCTCGTGTCCAAAAGAAAAAAAAGTCCTAGGCGCGGCGTTTATCGCGCAGCCACAGGGGGGTATATAAATGTCAAAGCTGAACTTGTAAAAGGGGGGCCATTGGCCTCGCCCTGCCATATCTTCATTGTCCTTAGTCCACGTAGCGGGCCTGTTTCCCGCATACAATAGACCGGTCCTTCGTCATGAGAAAGCAGAGCATGAGTTTCGTGCCATCAAGTAAATTAAAAAAAGCGTTGCCCTCTCAAGCTGCTGAAGCCTGACCCTCGACACTGCTTCGTGAGCTATCGAGGGGTTCGATGTGTTCTGAAATGCCATCGGCAGCGCCAATAGCCATCTCTTCCACATATGCAGGCGGGCTGGGCGGCACGTCTTGGTAGATTGGTGGAGCCTCATTATCCCATGAGATACCGATACCACCGCGCTCGGTCAGCACAGTGCCAAAATGCATACGCAGAATTCTGCCGACGCCAGTCTGCGTCACCAGAGCCGGCTTGCCCACGGGCGCCCATTCCTGCGAGACGACCATTTCTACCATGAGCTGGTGGCTAACTTCTGATCCGTCGCGAGCCTTGAGGTCGCAGCTATACTTGTTGTGTTTGCCAAGGGTATATTCGAGCTCAATATCGACTGCTGAGTCAGTCGGGCCAGCATAGCAGCTCTTCCATCCGCCGAAAAGCGTCTTCTCTCCTATGATGCGGGTCTCGGAGCGCTGAACACCCTTCTTCGCTGCCTGCTCCTCCTGAGCCTGGTCCTTGGGTTCCTTGGGGGAGTGCTTCTCGCAGGCCGGAGCAATTGTCTTGGCGGTCTCCTCTAGCCTCCAGGTAAGCTTCTTGAGCTTCCAGTACTCTACTGTGTTGGCCTTGTCGTTGGTCTTTGCAATGCCGTCCAGTCTGAGAGTGAGGGTATTGGTGCCAATGGGATGAATAACTTGGGGGTAGTGGACGCTCGCCTTGATGTTCGTGGGCGGGAACACGCGTACTGAATGGTGAGGCAGCTCCGGGGCCGGGAGAGAACGCTTGACATCAAAGATCTTCTCCAGCTTCACTGGCAGACCTGCCTTGGGAAGTGCTTCGGCTTTGAATTCGTAGGAGATGGCCATCAAGGGCCCATCCAACGTCGCTGGCAGATGGCCACCCAGAAGAACTGAAAAGGGGAAGGGATGACGGCCCTTCTTCATGGGTAGGGGCTGGGGAAGCAAGTCCCAGGTGGCCAATTCGGTGTACTGGTGTGTGCAGTCCTGGCAATGCGGAGTGAAGGGGCGCTTCTGGACAACATGGATATTGAGTGTTGCCTTGAACGAGTCGACCTCGTAGCTCTCCTCCTTGATGTCTAGAAACAGCTGGCCAGAGACGAGTGCGCCGGAACTGTTCTCGGCATCGCCATGGAGGACGATTGGGGGCGATTCGATCTTCCAGCTGAGATCGACGTGGGGGTTGCTGTGAGATTCTTTGCTTGAGCGGCCAATGTGCAGGCCGGGGAAGGAGAGGCGGTGGTGGTGCTCTGCGGTTGGTCTGACATGTGGGGAGTCGGGCATGTTGGCGGGAGAAGTCACCTCTTCGGACTCCTCGTCGATGGATGATGCATAGGAAAAGACGCGCTCGGAGCTTCTGGAGTTGCGGCCGGCGACGGGCCTATTGGGAGATGTTGTTCTCCGAATAGCAGCCTTTTTCAAGTGTGTTACCTGGTTTTCCAAGGTGTTGGTCGAAGACCGGAAGAACGTGGCAACGCGATGTGGCATTGTTCTGGAGGGGGGGGGAACGAGAAAAAAATAAAGACCACGGGGGTAGTTTAAAAAAAGGCTTTGGGTTTAGCGTCCCCTGCCAAGGGCGAAAATCATAAGTGCCCACCGCTGGGGAGAATGCGTCTTCTGGGCGCCCGCCGTGGCTGTCTGTAAAGTTTTGGTGTGGATGGAGGGGGAGGGGTAGCAGGAAAGCAGCGCACAGCCAACGAAGTCGAAGGGGCCTTCCTTTCTTTAAGAAGGAGCCTCAGCTGAACAGTTGCTGGCAATCCAGCACGAGTAGCGTAGCAAGAAAATAGAGTGATAGGAGTGGAGGTAAAAAGTAATGCAGCGTAATGTTCATGCAAGGTCAGGTAAGATCAGACCTAGTGAACGAGACCAGATGCAGTGACGACGGCGGATGGCGTAAGGTTGGTAGTGATGATGTGATGTGATGTGCCCTCCCAGCTTGCCAGAGTGCTGTGTTGCAGGACTAAGACTAATAAACGTCAGGGCTGGACAGTCGAACAGTCAGCGCCCACCTTTTTCCTTTCCAGCCCAGAAACCAGATGGTATGGATTCTTTCAGTCGGCCGCTGTTTGGATGCTCGCTTGCTTGTTTTGCTGCTGATGGTGGCGGCGGCGACGGCGGTGGGTTGTGGGTTGTGGGTTGGGTGTTTGTTTTGTAAGTGCAGGTGTAAGTGTCAGTGCAATTTTGTACTTGTGACCTCCCGTAACTAGGCGCGTTAGGCCTAGACCGGAATGCAGATGCGATGCTCCCCAGAAAAAAAAGGCGGATCTTGGTCGCAACAGGTCGCAACACGCAGCAGACAGTGACAAGCGTCCTCAAAATACAGAGATTTTCCGGAGACGGCGATCTGTCGGCGAGAGAGATCGAGAGATCAGAGAGAGAGAGAGTACCTAGGTACAGCACAGTACCTTCCAAGGTAAATAGTTTGAGGAGGGTTGAATGGCTGGGTAGAGCAGAGCAGATGCAGATGTGATGATGACCTAATAATTCCTTCCAGGTTGCTCCTTCCGGGGGCCGGTGTCAGGAATTATAGGAGGAAAGTCGAGAGTCGGTACAAACTTGTTTGATGATGCTTGCGTCCGTCAAGTCGCTAGGGAGGAGAAACAGGAGGTAATGAGACTACCAATACCGGTACAACAGGCCTCGACTGTGCTGGGTAGGTATTTAGCCTTTCTTCTGGCCCGTCTCGATGACTCGATCATACAATTGCGACTGTGCTGTCCGTGTGCTTAGTGTAGTAGTGCTGCAGTGCTGCAGTGGTGCAGGGTACCTAGGCTCGCTAGGAATTGTATGCCCGTGTAAGAGCAGTCAGATGCACCACACTAGCAACACTAGGTAACAAGGAGCCGTAGCTTTGGGGTGCGGCAAGCCGAGCCGGAGAGAAGCTGTACTATGCAGTACTGTGCTGTATTGGAGCTAGGTACCTAGGTACCTAGGTAGGTAGCGGTCGCAGGCAACGGTGTGTGTATGGGATCAGGTGGTCTGCTGATCGGTCAGGTTCGATCTGATCTGGCCTGAGGAGTGCTCCGGCTCGGAGGGGGTCCCAGGTGCTATGCTGTACCTATAGGGATGATAGCGTCCCTGTTCAGAGGGCAGAGAATGTGCCCGCTGACTCTGGACCCGGCTGTGTGGAGCGCCTGCGATGCAAGGTATGTGCCGTAGTGACCAGGTTGGGGTTAGCGGCCCTGGGCTTACACGCAGTTTGCCGTGTAAAAAGTCGCTTTGGGGTGGTGCGTGATCACTTAGAGGCTCCACTGTTGGAAGCTTCTGTTCGTTCGATGCGCTGCCGGTGCTGGCCCCGGTGGTGATGTGCTCCGGCCGGCTGCTGTCGGGTAACGCCTTGGCGCTGGTGTTCGCTGGGGGAAGGGGGGGAAAAAATTGTGACAGGCTGGTGGCCCGCTTTGCCGTCCGAATCCGGCAAGTTCAATTGATGTGCCTTGGTGTTAGACCCTTTTAATGAAGTTTTTTTTTTTTGGGCTCTCCTTCTCTTTTTCTCTTTCTTTCTGAGGTCCACTTGCCCGCGTAGGGTAGGTAGGTAGGTAGGTAGAGCGGGGCAAGAAAGAGTCGGTGGATTGGTCCGCTTGTCTTGCTTGTTTGTTGAATGTGCAGCGGCGTCTTCGTCTTCGTGACAAGGAAGGCTCGATGCGCGTGTGTAAGCCGCCCTGTCTCTTTCCGAATAAATCCCGGCTTCCTTCCTTGCTTGCTTGTTCGCTTGCTTCGGAAGGCGCCACAGAATAGTTTATGACGTCGACTTCCGTAGCAGGTCGGTAGGGCTTGCCCAAATTATCAAAAGGCGAAGTGTATACAGTAGCTTGCGCAAGCGCTTTGTTGATCTGGAGAGCGCAGCGTAGTGTGTGGTGACTGGTATGCGCCTGCAAACGGTCTGCCCCAGTAAAGCGTTGACTTGGAGGGGTCTTTGTTGGAAGGAGGGGTTCAATTGACTTGTCCGTGATCAATTAACCTGTTTTGAATTGCATTGAACTGATATCGAATGCCGGGCGACAACCAGCAAAACAGCAGTAGCGGAATGTACTTTTGAGCTGATTGTAAGTGGGTAGGTGACACAAAAGGTACCGTCCGTCAGGTTCAGGTAAGGTTATCAGATGGAATAGACTGACAACTTAGATCTCCCGTGCGTGCCGTCTCGTATCGAGGTCGCTATCGTGGAGTCTCGGGATCACCGTGGATATCAGTCGTTCAATGAGCCTTGTAGTAGTAAGAAGAAAAGTAGCGTGATGAGATCACAAGATTTGATAATGTTATATATAAAGAGCAAGACACCCGGCCGCCCTTTATTCGGCATCCCCAGCTCCAGCTCCAGCATTGCTCCAGCATGGCTGTCTCCGAGGGTGTCTCTTTTTCGCAGAGCCTTGCCTCGTGATGGCCCCTGGCGGCTTTCCATCAAGTAATTATGTGTCATGGTTTGGCCCTGGGCGGTCAACGTGCCTGGCCTAACATCCCTAGCACGCCAGTAACCCCCTGTAGCACAGCGGCTACTGCATAACAACAGCGCTCGCTGAGATGATGCCAGCAGCCCTACTGTACTACTCGCATCACACGCAGCGGACCCAATGTCCGACAGGTATCCTACCTGGTATCTAGTGCCCCTACCAGGTACCCAGCCTTGCCCTGTTGGACCTGTAAGCAGGCCAGAACCCAGCATGCCTGCTCCTTCAGGCCATCTTATAGGTGGGTATGGAGGTACTGTACCTCTGGCTGCGTTGGTGTCAGGTACAGTACGTTTGTCTCCAAAACCTTCGAGGTCGGGCACCTTGTTGATGGAAGTGGGAATAGCCGTCTGTATGCTACACTACCTAGTTAAGGCGGCGGTGGACAGTCGGTAAACTACAGTACGGGAGGGTGTCAAGGTAATCCTTCACAGCACCTCATTCCGCCATGTCAATGCCATTGTTCGGGGCTTCCAAGCCCGCAAGCGGGCCAATCGAACCATGAAAGACCATCACAATCCCCAAGAGAAACTTCCGCAGCCATCGTTTTGATCCCGGGCCATGTCCGCCGCAAGTCCGATGCGAGAGGTCTGGTGAAGGCGAAGTCGTGGCCAGGTCACTGGAGTACTATGCAGTATGCTTTCAACTGAATAGACGTGTTCGAATGGACAGCCTTCTGTACTGTAAAGGGCTGAAATCCCTGCAGGTGGTTCCAAATGGGTTCAGCCAGACAGCACACTGCATATATTGTACCTTGGTGATGTAGTGTAACGCAGTGTCGAACAATGAATTATATCAGAAGCTATCTTATCAATCAGCGCTTGTAGGCACTTCGGGGTGACTGTTCCTGACAATCACCAAAGCACCAGGTTAGGGGAGCAGGGGTCTGTCTAAGTCGATGTCCCGGGCCACTCTGTCAGTTTGAACAACCCTCGTCGGACGAGGACACTGAGTAAGCTTCGGGTGAGATTGTATCATTCAACTGGTGTTACTTTTTGACTCGTGTGTATTAATCAAATGCACTTTCACTGATTGTAAGTGTGTCTGAACATCATTGGCTGGTAATAACCATTCTGCCTATACCTAGGTAGACTGGAGAAGAGTTTAGAAAGGGACGCCACCGCCCTGAACGAAACAGTTTTGGTGGGCTTCTCTCCTACTCTTTGGAAACCGAGATAATGTACCGAGAGCGTGCATCTACATTGCAAAAGTAGAGTACCTGGTTTCCAAGGTGTTTCCCCTCAAGGATGGCCTCATTCTGCTAAACAAGCTTGACAAGGTACCTTGCAGCCTCCGAGATCGCAACAGTAACTAACTTAAGAGTCAGACACGTTTCCTGAGTGAGGGCGCCTATGAAAGGTGTCAAGCGGAGCTCCTATTGCGAGCATCCTTTCAAGGTCTCTGTCACAAGGAGCGGAAAGGAGCGAGCCATACATAGACAGCCGACGCTTGCATTAGATGTCTTTCTGTTACGTTTTGGCGGGGTCATCCGCACCAAAAACATGAATGGATATATGGCGTGAGAGGGGCCAGCCAGGCTAGATTTAGGTACGGTGTAGGCCAATATAAGTCGCAATACTCCAGTTCTCTACCCTTACCTACCCACTGTACAGGTGGGCTTGCCGACCCCGGCTTTTCATGCCCCGCTACATCGGAGGATAAATGCGGCCCAACGACATTGATGGGTGGCCGCACGGGTTACACGCAGACATGAAAAATTATCAGGCAATTCGATTCGAGTGTTCGTCTTCGACGGCCTAGCTCTGCAGGTTGAGAGGTCCTCTGCTTGCGAAGGTCGATGCATGAGGCGTGACATTAGTAGATCCCTTAGGATGCCGCGTATGTTCCAAGATGAGATGAGACGATATGATCTGAGGTACGGGGGCCTCCGTGAATGGGCGGGGGACTAAACTCATCTGTAGAGTAGAGTGCGATGCCGGGGTCAAAAGTTGCTCTGAATTACCTCTTTGGTCTTAAACTCGGCCGAGCTCACGGTGACCCGATGCAGGCGGACAGCTTCACAGAGAACATGGAACAGGGCGA